CCACATCTTCAGTATTGTTTGAAACATAGTTCCAGCTTCGGTAGAGCTTGTTCATCAACTAACTCAAGTTATGATCCTTTTCGTGTGTTTCCAAAATAGTTACAAAATAGGTTTGTAAGTTAATAACCAATCACAAAATAACTTATGATTATCCGCGTCATTTAGACTTTGGATGTTCCAAAAAATAATTTATTATACGTTGGGATTAGTCAATAATCTCTTCATGATGAAAAAAACCATCAGAAACCAACAAAGAAAAATAATTTGAAAGGCACAAAACAGAAGAGTATGAATGTGGTAAAACAAGGGTTTGAGAGGAGGAATAGGTGGTAGTTGAAAAGTAGAAATGTTGGACAGTAAAAGATGAAAATGTTAGGAAATTAGAGTCAGGACGAGCTTTTTTCAAGGATGGGGCAAAGAAGGAATCAGGGGGGGATAAAGGACAGTGAAAGAGGTTTAGAAGAGAGAGAGGGAAATGTAAGGAGAAGACATGGGGAAGAGTAGCAGGGACAGGTACGGTTAAGTGGACATGATTTTTAGGTTTAGAGAGGATAAAAGAAATTAAAGGGATTTTTAGAGGAAGCTGGGGAATATAGAGGACAAGAGGTACAACAGATTGAGAGGAGGAGTAGAAAGTCTAGAGGCAGGCTTAGAGACATGGTTGACAGTTCTATTTGAGCAAGATGCTCCAGTTCCATTAGTTTCTGAGGGAAAGCATGTCCCTTATCTTTTTTTCAGTATGTAGTTTATGGAGTTATATGGCCCATTTCTTTGTAGGAGGATTTGATTTTTCAGGGAGAGGGAGCTGAAGATAGCTCTAAGAAACATAACCAAGATCTTTACAGTGAGAGTAAGTAGGCGGAAAGTAACTTGAACTTCAACAACTTCATTACAAGAAATATGTATATTCTTAGCTCACAAAAAACACTATAGTAGGGATTTCATAGAGAAATCGTTTATGCTATGTCATTGGCAGCCATCTTAGGTACCCTCTCTATAATAACATTTTTTTTAATGCTACAAAATGTGCAGATATGACAACAATACTTTGATGATGTTATTAACTTAACTATGACACTACTTTCGTGCTATGATAGTTTCTACAGCAAACCAAAATAATTATAATTAAAAATAAAATTAAAGAAAATTAAAGTAAACTTGTTTTATAATCAAAATAAAATAATTTTTATTTATAAATTAAAATTGATTTACAAATAAATTTAAGTTTATAAAATTAAACCAAAAATTTTAAAATAAAGTCAAACCACCACAATTTTAGGTATAAACTAAACCAAATAAACAAAAAAAAATAATCCTAAAAGAAAAATCTAACTCAGCCGCCATCAACACCAAGTCCATTAAGCTCTTCACCACCTAAATATGCTGAGAACAAAAGAAGCAATGAAATAGAAAAATTGAGTGGTGTGGCCACCACGCTCAACCACCTAAATGGCATCTTCTTCTTCATCCTCTTTGGCCAACCGGATCTGAGCAAGTTACGGTGATATATTTTCTTCTTCTTTGCTTCTTTCTCTTTCGTCTTGTTAAGAGAAGCAAAGATGAGAAGACGACAGCAGTAGCTTTCTCTTTCATCAACCAAACCTCAAATCAATTTCAATAGACATCAATTAGCCAAATCCGAATACATCAGTTAGACTATAGCCATAATGGTTGGTTCTTCTGTTGTTTGGGTTTCTTTGAAGCTGGTCGTCACAGTTCTTCAGCAGTATTTTTTTGAGTGTTTCGTAAATCTGACGGTGATATCTTCTCTGTTTGATCTGAAATTTAACAGAGGTGTTGTTGACTTGTTTATCTTGGATTTGTACAGTGGGATTAGTCTCTGGTTGTCGGAATCCTTGTGAGCTGAGGTCGTTTGGTTGCTGCCGGTTTTGAAGTTTTGTGTTGCTCTCTTATTGTTGTAGTATCTTGTGTTGGATATAGCTCTTTATAGTTATAGTCTATGTTCTGTTCAGGGTGTTGAACAGAGAGAATGTGGTTGTACTCATACCATTTATATAGTGGATTTTTGAGTTGATATCTTGGGAGGGTGTTGTACACATACCATATTTTCAGTGTGGGATCTTTATCTTTAACACACTCACTCGAGATAATGGTGGGTATAACCATTAATCTCAAAATCCATCATAACCCTTTTAACACTATTTTTCTAGCTATCTCAGCGGAACTGAGCCTTTTATGGGCCATCAGCTAATGGGATGATCGGGCCACTGTCTGGACCGGACTAATGGATCAAGGTGTGGGCCCGCTCTGATACCATGTTAAATTTCCTAGAAAATATGTAAGGAACTTGAGTAAGGGACTTAAGTAAGGGATAAAGATCCCACATTGGAAATATGAATGGGACATGAGTAATATATAAGGAACTTGGACCAATCCACTAATTACCAATTGGTTTGAAGTTGGAAGTCCATGATAAATCCGAATCTAACATAGTAGCAGAGCCCATATCCTTAAAACATAAACTCCCTTAATTAATTAATTAATTAATTTATCCTTCAGCCGGGTATAAAGATTGTGTTTAACCTTTCGACTAGGCATAATTGTCGTATTTGACTTGTTCTACCGAGTATAAATGTCTTAAAGTTCCGAGATTTTTGGTGATAAGAACCATCATCTCGAGGACGGTATTATGAATAATATAAAAGGTTAAGGTCAATCGACTAGTCACCAATTGGTTTTAAATTAGAAGTATGTAATAAACATGAATCTAACATGGTATCAGAGCATTATCTCAAAAGAGATATGATGGATTTTGCGATTAATGGTTATACCCACGATTATCTCGAGAGAGGTGTTGGAGATAAAAATCTCACATTAATAATATGTAAAGGAGATGAGTAATATATAATGGACTTGGGTCAGTCCACTAATTGTCAATTGATTTTAAGTTGGAAGTCCAGAAAACTTAACATGGTATCAGAGCGGGTCCACACTCTGACCCGTTAATCCGATCCGGACAGTGACCCGATCGATCCATTAGCTGATGGTCCATAGAATACAGAGTTTCACTGAGATTGATAGAAAATAAAATATTGTCTCAGAAGGAATATGATAGATTATGCGAGAATAATGATTATACACACCATTATTTCGAGGAAAAGTGTTGGGATAAAGATCTCACATTGAAAAGATGAATAAGTCATATGTAATATATACATGATTAAGACTAATCTACTAATGACTAATTAGTTTTAATTTGAAAACCCATAATAAACTAAAATCTAACACAAAAAATTCATTTTGTAAAAAAAAAAAATAACAAGAAGAAATCAATAGGTACCATGACAAAAGTCAACTGTAAAGATCAAGATTAAAAAACAACATTGCAGTAAATCCGGTTGCAAAATTGCAGTAAATCCGGTTCTCCATTTTGATACTTGCATTTGTTAGGGCGAGATTGTTTATTGAGTTAATTGGCCGATACACCCCAAATGAGGGTCTATATTAGTCACTTGTCTATGATGGGACATATTTATTTTGTCTGACCAAATTGCCCTTCTTTCTCTCTCTCCTTCCTTCCTGCATTTACATGTGGGTGTGTCACTTTTTTTTTTCATTTTCGTCATCAATGCTCTTCTCTCCTCTTATCATTTTCAGAATGAATTACATGCAAAATAAATATGTTAAATATTTTTGAGTTCACTTTGATTCTTAAATAATAATTTTCAATTTTAAATTTACTCAATGTGATTTGGAAATACAAAATTCATTATTTTTTTATAAGTGGCTTTGAATCCTCAATTTTTTGATGATATCAATTTTCTGGGTTTTAGATTCGACGTCGTGTTAGCGGTTAACAAATATTGTAGACGTTAACAGAAGTGTTAGTTGTTAACAATTATTTTTACGCTTCGCGTTAATAAATATGTTCGCTGTTAACAAATATTGTAGACGTTAACAAAAGTGTTAACTGTTAACAATTATTTTTACGCTTCGCGGTAATAAATGTGTTGGTTGTTAACAAATATTGTAGACGTTAACAGAAGTGGTATATGTTAACAAATGTTTTTACGCTTCGTGTTAATGAGAGGAAAGAGAAAGGGTATTCTCAGCATTTCCTTGCCAAATGGTTGTGTCAGTGTTCTTCATGTCAAATCAATGGTATTTTGCTAATTTGAGATTCAAATATGGGTAGTTCACTAAATCACTCTTGTCAAATCAATGGTATACTAGTACTCTTTAATCATTTGATCGCTTATAATTTTCAGGTTATAATTATTTAAAGTGAAACAAAATTGTCTATCTCCCTAAACCCGCGACATTATCATCTCTTTCCTCCTCATACTCCAACCATCTACGATCTGTATTCCGTGGACAGATCTGATTTTTGGCAAATTAAAAATAATTTGTGTGTAGGAAATTAATTAAATGTATAGTTTATATAAGGAGGAAAAATAAAGGAAGAAGAAACTAAGATAGTGCTAAAAGGACAATAAGGTCACATGAACTGAACCAGATGATTCAAAGGGTCCCTCAAAATTGGTTTTTTCTTGCCCATATCTCTATCATTCTCATCATAACATTATAACATTCAAGATTTCTCTCCTTTTTATCTCTTTCTTCTTCTTCTACAAAAATCTTAACAAGATTTTTTTCTCTCTTTCCTCTATAGCTATAAGTTATTGCACAAAACTGTGAGAAGTAGAGAAGAATGAGAGTGGGAGAGAGATGGTGATGATGATCAGTAAAGTTAGGGAAAACCAATTTTCTATTTATGTATAATTAGGTCAATCACATCAGCAATTTAACCTTTTCCTTCTCCAGTTCTCCTCCTCTTCTTCCAAATTAGGGTTCCCCCCCCCCCACCCAACCCTTCCATCTTCTTTTCTCAATTCCTGAGTCACTCCATTGGATTTCTCCTCAGAGATGCTGTGAAGTCATATACTTCAAGTCAAGAACCTACTCTTGGTCTTTTTCAGAAAAAAAAAAAAGAACCTAATCTTGGCCACACCATCAAGAGATCTGACTTGTAAAAGATGATGACAAATTTGTCTCTTGCAAGAGAAGGAGAAGAAGAAGAGGCAGAAGCAAAGAAGCCCATAGAAGAAGTGGAGAGAGAGCACATGTTCGACAAAGTGGTGACTCCAAGTGACGTTGGGAAACTAAACAGACTCGTGATTCCAAAGCAACACGCAGAGAGATACTTCCCTTTAGATTCATCCTCAAACGAGAAAGGTTTGCTTCTAAACTTTGAAGATCTCACAGGAAAGTCATGGAGGTTCCGTTACTCATACTGGAACAGTAGCCAGAGCTATGTCATGACTAAAGGTTGGAGCCGTTTCGTTAAAGACAAGAAGTTAGACGCTAGAGATATTGTCTCTTTCCTGAGATTTTTTAGACACAGGAAGAGATAGCCGCTTGTTTATCGACTGGAGGAGACGACCGAAAGTCCCCGAGTGCTATCCGACATCGACTTTTCACTTTTCTGCCGGAGCTATGTTCCCTAGGTTTTACAATTTTCCGACAGCAACTGCTTCGACAAGTTATCATCAGCAGCCACGTCATCATCAAAGTTACATTTATCCTCAAATACCGAGAGAATTTGGATATGGCTATGTTGTTAGGTCAGTAGATCAGACGGCTATGGTGGCTGATCCGTTAGTGATGGAATCTGTGCCGGTGATGATGCACGGAGGAGCTAGAGTGAACCAGGCGGCTGTTGGAACCGCCGGGAAGAGGTTGAGGCTTTTTGGAGTTGATATGGAATGTGACGAGAGCGGAATAACAAACAGTACGGAGGACGAATCTTCATCTTCTGGTGGGAGTTTTCCACGTGGCGGTGCTTCTTCCTCTTCCTCTTTGTTTCAGCTGAGGCTTGGAAACAGCAGTGAAGATGATCACTTATTTAAGAAAGGAAAGTCTTCATTGCCTTTTAATTTGGATCAATAATGATGATGATGAGATGAGTTGGTATTAAAACACACACATAATTCTACATATATGACAACATAATGCATCAATTTCATTATAAATTTATTGAGAAATGTTACACTTAGATGCATAGTCCATTATATAGATAATTTTTGTTGCTTGGAATAATAATTTGTTGAGTGTTCTTCGAAATGTTTATTGTAGATGAAGTACCTCAAGCATTTGTAATTCTTTATTTAGTTTTGATTTCTCTCAATCATAACATCAACTGATTAGATTATCAAATTACATTTGGTAAATCATACCAAACGTTATATAACAAAACTGCAAGGATGTATAGTGTAGAAAATCTGGGTACAAATTAGTGAGATTTATAAGAAGAGACATGAACTAGGATTGGGTTCTGTGGAAACCTATATCTCTTTTGTATGTCTCTGAGGTCAGCAAGTTTCAAAGTTTGATGGGCTGTCTTAAGAAGTGAATTGTCTCAATGCATCACTAGTTATTGTCCCTGCAATCAATTTAGTTATGGGTTTCTATGTTTGGTTACTAAATATGGCTGCTGCTGCTGCTGCTTTTCCCTGGAGCTATTGCTGGATATTAGTTAGGCAGGTAGACTTGCAGGGGTGGTCAGTGACAATACAATAATTAATAACTTCTTACATTATATATTGTGTGATTTTTTTTTTTAAACTTTGGCTTTATTTTGTGTGATTATATTAGCACAAAAATGGAAAGAGAAGAGTTTTTTTAGTTCTTTCTTTTTCATCTTGGGGAGATTGAAAAATTTATGATCTGTTTTGTTTGTACGTATATTTTCTGATGCAGTAATTAAATATCACAAAACCTAGAGTCCACCGCTTTTTTTTTGTTAAAACAGTATTTCTTGTTGTCAAGGTATTTATTGTATTTTAGGTTTCTCTTTTCGTCTCTTGGTCTGAAATCTGCAATATCTATATCAGATCAACACAATAAATGAAAACATATGTTATATTTATACATTTACGTATGGTGTCATGAAATCTATATCATATCGATCTTAAAGTAAGTTTTTTCACATCTCTATACGATATAGCTAGTTTTTACCTGGTCAATCATGACTTCCGGCTCTGTTATTAATGCATACATTCACTAGCCTAATCTCAAACGTTAAATTTAGCGTTTATATACTATAGCTTTCTCATAGTTTCTATGTTCTCCCCTTGTTTCAGTTCGTTGTGATCTTTATATTGGATAGCTTTTATCTTGATGCTCGTTTAAGCAAGTGATATCATCTTCATGCTTATTATTATCTTTTAAGATAATTTGTGCTGATTTGCTAGATATGCAGCTACTCCTGGTTTTAGATTGATTTAGTTTTGAAAAGTCTAATCTTTGAAACGCTGGTTTAGTTTATGCCTAGGCTTATTTCTGAATTTCGTTGTTGTTAATTGCTCTCTTGAGCTCAAGTCTCCGTTTGACGACCTGGTTAACTGGCCACTTTTTAGAAAAAAAAAGAACAGAAAAAAAGCTCAAATGGTAACTAGGAGCTGCGATCCCTGGTTGTTGATCATAACTTTTGGCCAACGAATACAACTAGGCTTTATGGGAACTTAAAATGCGGCCAAAATTAACTAATAAAACAACAATGTTTGAATTTTTATTCTTTAAAATTGTTTACCTCCCATTGTTCAAATAATTATAACCTTTTTAATATCAGCAATCACCAAAAGTGTAGTGATCTTGACGCTAATTCATAATAGTCATCTTATTCTCCTCTGCCCTAAAACTATTCTATTAAAATAGAGTCATTATTTTTATCTACTGATATAAGTTGTCATTTAAATTTGGACCCTTTCTAGAGTGTTACAAATAATACAAGTTATATAGTTGATTGAACCGCATTACTTAAATTAAACCGGCGGTTATTTATGGAATAGAGTTTTGGGCTTACTTTTGTTTTTATGACATTTAATTGTTTGGTTTTTAGGCTTAGTATTAAAGAAAAACTCCAAAAAATATTAAATAAACTTTCCACCTTAATGGATCAAAAATCAATTACTATTTTCAGGCCCAAAAATATTTAATATTTTCAACAAAACAAAATTATCTATTATTAATCACTTATTTAAATCATGTACTTTAAAATATGTTAATATTTTTAGCCCAAAAATATTTAATATTTTCAACAAAACAAAATTATCTATTATTAATCACTTATTTAAATCATGTACTTTAAAACATGTTAATATTTTTTATTTTAAATAAAAATCATTCTATCTTGATAAATTTTAATGGTAACTTTTAAATAATTTATTGTTTTATTTTTCTTACATAATTTACAGATTTAAAAAAAAATGTAAAGCAAAACCAAAAACCAAATCTAAAAACTAAAATCCAAAACCAAAAGCCAAAAACGCAGGTTATATTTTTTGCTTTTTTTTATTTACAAAATAAACTATTTCAAAATTTTTAGAAACTTATTTTGTCATATTTTCAGTTTAAAATTACATGTTCGATTAATTGAGATTTGTTTGTTGGTAATATCAGTTCAAACTAACTCAGCGGGTCTAAAAATTAAAAATCCAAACAAAAAGCTGAAAATCAAAAATAGAAACTTAAAAACTAAATACCAAAAACTAAAATTTAAAACAAAATCTAAAAATAAAAACTGAAACTAAAAACTAATGAAAAACAACTATCACCACAAATTTTGGTAAACTAATTTTATACCAAAACATTCTTTAAATTAAGACAAAACCCAATTATATAAATTTTTAATCATAAAAAATTTCCACTTGAAAAGCGCGGGTCAAAATCTAGTTGTACACTTTTAAAATATGAACTGAAAACGCGATATATTTTTTGTAAACAAGACATTGTTTAAATGTCGAGCTAATATAGCGAAGAGAAGTGATGGGTGGAAAAAGGAAAAAACCCTAATCCTCTGACGGCGATGGAGAAGGCGACAAGGAGTGCAAGACCACCCACGAGAGATTGAAGCTTCGATCGACATCCTTTGTTGGCGGTGGATCACGTAAGGGATCGGTTGTTCTCTGTTGGCTAATCTTTGTTGGCTGATGGTTCTTAAACCTTCGCAAACGGATCGACCTTTGTTGTTTCTGTCACTGGCGTGACTCTCTGGATTGATCCCGTGTTGATCCTTTCTTCACAACGACATCCGGCAAAGTTCCAGGATCTACTCTCTGGATCTCTGTTACGTTACGGCGGCACAGGCACGGTGGCTTTTGATTTCTGTGGAGAGGATATCGTCATTACTCGATAAGGACACTGCGATATCTTTGTATCCAGCGATCCTGAGTTTTTTTTTTTTTTTTGGTCACGAGAACGGTGGCTCTGATCTATAACGCCTCTCTAGATCGGCGGTTTGTTTACGTCTTTTACACGTAAGAAATCCAAGACGCAACAATATAACCACGGATCGTTGTTCTGGTGTATTGTTTGTATCCATCTCTGCAACTTCGGGTATCTACGTAAGTTATGGCTTTGACTAGATATCCATCGGAGTATCAAGGAGATCGTAGAGGAAAGCGTATACTCGATGATGACGATGACGAGCCCATCAGGCTCACGGTTCATGAGGATGCTAATGTGATCAAAGACTTCCGCCTTTCAATTATTGGCAAGATACTCAACCCTCGAAAACAAAAGGTCGAGAAGCTTATTAAAACGATGCCTGGACAGTGGGGAATGGAAGATAAAATCATTGCCAATGATCTGGGGAATGGAAAGTTCCTCTTGAACTTTACCTCTGAGGAGGACTTAAACTATGTTCTTCGACAGGGTCCTTTCATTACAACTTCTGCATGTTCGTATTGGTTCGATGGTCACCGGTTGTTCATGATGATTATCCATGGGTAATCCCATTTTGGGTCCAGATTACTGGTTTCCCACTACACTTATGGACTGATCGAAACTTACGTGAAGTCGGACATAGGCTTGGCTATGTGGACACATTGGAGTTATCTGAGGGCCGTATGCTCATAGAAATAGATTCCCGTAAGCCACTGAAATTCTCAAGGAAAGTGCAAACGTCGGAGGGTGAGGACTTCACCATTACAATAACGTATGATAAGCTCTTCAAGCATTGTGAAACTTGTGGATTGATGTCTCATGAAAAGGCTTATTGCCCATCACGTGACATTCAATCTAGATTACAGCCTCCCATGGAACGTGCTGGGGGAGTGTTTTCCCGCGTGCAAAGTCCCTCAAACAGCACACGCTTGATCCGTCAGCCTGACTCTCGCAGTGCGCACAGTCCCTCCCGCCGTGGGCTCTTTTTTCCCTCCGGACAAGATCGACAAGTGCGATACCAGCCTGTGGTTGAGCATAGTCGTGGGCAGGGGCGTTCAGACAGAGTAATGAGACGTCATGATAGATACAATGGCTCGTCTAATGGCAGATCGCGATACTCTTCACGTCCCTATGACCGGAGAAGTGACCGGAGAAGTGAACAACATTGGAAGCTTAAAGCGAATGTTACTGATGGCGATCTTAGTTCGTCTGCGGTTCAACATACGGCCAAGCACCAGACACATGTATCACGACAGCATAACACCATAGGTGGAGTTGTTGATCACGCTTCGGTACCTGAATCTCACGTCTCCCTCACCACTGATGAGGAGGATGCTTCGCGCAAGAGTACTCATACTGGTACTGCGCCCACCAAAAAATGCTTGGCGAGTAAAATTGTCACGCCAACAGCTGATGAATCAATTTTGAAGAGATATGTAACAACCAGGGATAAGGGGGTTACTAAGTCTTTATGTTTCTCACAAGATGTTGGCCAGGATCTAGATGGAGATGATCAAATGATTGGAGCTCTTAATGATATGGATAATTTGGATCAGGGCGATGACATGATGGAGGTGGAACATACCGACGAAGTGCTTAATGACGATGATCTTCTCGGTGAGGAGTTAAGGGAGGCTGAGGAAACTAACACCGGTTCACAACCGGGACGCACTGAGAATAGGGAAGTAAAAGCAGGAAGCACATCTGTTCGCAGTAGACGCCAT